AGGGGGGGGCGACCCCGTCCCGAGGCCGCGGGGAGCCGCGCTCTGCCGCCTCGGCTCTGCTCGAGGCTGCCCGATTTCCTCGACATTAGGGCTGCAGGGCGAACAAGGCGCTTCTCAAAGATGGTTCACACACGAGTAGCGTTACCCCACCGGCATTTTTCCCTGACTAGCCGTTACCTTTTTCTGCTACAAATGGTGCGAGGCAGCTACAGCAACCACATACTATAGCTCAGCCGCACGGGCAGCGGAGAGTAGCGATGCCCCCGGCTTTCCCCAAATACATCCAAGTATTTTTTTCAGTAGCCCTTTTCCCTCTCTGAGTAGCCCGTCAACACCCACATCCCTTACAAAGTGTGACAGAGTTAACTACAGCTCCAAACGTTCCTGGTGTTCGTATCAGTATCCCACTATCGCAGCATTGCAGAACGGTCTCAACCTCAGCAGCTTCCCAAAGAAAGGAATTCCAAACCATAGTTAGGGCATATAACAAAAAGCATTTCCTTTTTGAATTTCCAATTCTGTTGCTACCCTTTTGGTTGGATATTATTTTATTGCATCTTATTTTATTCTTTTGCATCCCATTTTACCGCAATCACTCTCTGTAAGTTCTTCCTCAGCCCGTAAACACCTTCTCTATCCTTCCAGTTCTACGTCTGTGGGAATTATTTAATGAGGTGATCGGTAAGCACAAGTCATTCCAAATGAAGCTGTACTGCTAATGTAAATTAAGAAGAAAAAAAAATCAACATACTTTTTTACATGGTGCTTCAACACGTTCCTCCCGTATTGATAAGAGCCGATTTTACAAAGATGGTCTTCCACTTCTTAGAGATCATGCCAAAGTGTACATACTGAATTTAGAAAAGTTAAAAAGAAAAAAAAAGAAGTGTAACTTAAGCATTTTTCCTTCCAGCCTGGATTGTCTGCATTTATCAGAACTGAATGTTGTTAGTCAATCCGCTCAGCCTGCTCAGATGTCTTTAAACTTCTCACAGCTCTGTGAGAAGTTTAAAGTTATTTGTCTTAGCCAACAAATAACTTTCTCCAACACGAGAGCAATTTCTCATCTCTCATCGTTTAACCCTTCTTTAAACTTAAAATATGTTATGGGTACCACTGAACATTAAGGCACTTCATAGTAAACCTCTTACTGAGATACAGAAAAAAAATCAGCCACCAAATTAATAATACATTCTGGAGAAGCAGGAAAGAAAATAAATCTCCAAGATTAGTTTCCAGAGGGTATATCTAAAGTATGGCGCACACGTGTTTCACTCTGTGCACTCAACATCAACGTTTTGCCCTGTGGGGGTGGTTGCAGCAATGGAAGCGGGGCAACTGGCAGCGCAGAGGCAAACCCATCTGGGCTGCTGCATTGTGGCAAGATACTGCTGCCCGGGTGGAGAACCTGGCTGTAAAAGTCCATCACGTAGATGCTCACGTACCCAGGAGTCGGGCCACTGAAGAACATCAAAACAACCAGCAGGTGGATCAGGCTGCTGAGATTGAAGTGGCTCAGGTGGATCTGGACTGGCAACATAAGGGTGAACTATTTATAGCTTGGTGGGCCCATGACACCTCAGGCCATCAAGGAAGAGATGCAACATATAGATGGGCTCGTGATCGAGGGGTGGACTTGGCCATGGACGCTATTGCACAGGTTATCCATGAATGTGAAACACGCGCGGCC